GTAAATTATTACATGCTACACAAACATTAGGTATTAGAGTATAACATACTCCTTTTCTCTAAGGCAAAGCTTTCCAACCAGTGTGCCAAGAATGGATTACATATGTGCTGAAATTGTGACCAATGCCCTCACTCCACAGCTTTCAAGGAACCAGGGAGGGCCTGGCTCTAGTCTGGCATACAATTATAATCATTTTTTATTTGTGCTATGACGACTATCTCAAGCTAGCAGAAACTGAAGTTGGCGAACCGACTCCCCCATCTGGATGATTTAGGGCTTACCACTAACTCTGCTGCTTTTATGATCCTGTTCCAAAGGCAGTGTGTCACTGTTCCCCAGGGACAAATGAGGCTGGAGCTTGAACATCAAGGAGCTGCTAGCCCAATGCTAACACAGATACACAAAAATAAAATATAAATTCTTATCTTAGGTGAGAACATGGCAAAGACACTGCCATATTTTCACAAAAGATTTGAGCAACTGCCTGTTCTGCAACTACCTTCAGAGCCGCAAATCTCTTGTCTTTCAGGAGAGGATCTGATTTTTTCCAAACACCCAAAGTTATTCAGATTCTGGTGACTGAGGTGAAATGATGAAGCCAGGCAAGAACTTTTCATTTTCATATGTCTCAATCTGAACTGGCAGTCATTCTAGAAGTAGATTTCAAAGCAGATTGCCTACTCTGAAGAACAGCATTCACTTAAATAAGTATGCTTGTCAAGGGAAAAAAAATGTACTTAATAAAGACACTTTATATTTTTCAGGTATCAACTAAAGTTAACATATGCCTATGCCCATCCTAAGACAAAGATTTAGAAAGAATGGAGGAGAATGGAATGAGAGATAGAGGAAGAGAAGAATAGGAATAAAGAAAAGAGAAAAAGAAAATATATACTTTTGTCTCATAAAGAATATCTGATAATCTGCAATAGCCATTCGGTGGCTTCCATGACTGCCAAAAGCTAGCAGAGATCAAGGAAAACAAAATTATTTTCAGACCAACAGTCATTTTCATACATCCAGAACTAGTGCTACATATCTGACTTTTAGACTGCCATGGTCCTAAGTCATCAACTTCCGTATTAAGTGGAACAACTCACTTTCCATTCTGTACAAATACTTTGGTTTTTCATCCATAGCCATATTAAAGTTTCCTGTTTAATTTCCTTCTTCCATTCTGTATTCTTTCCTCCATCCCAATTTTATTATTCTAAAATTTATTTATATTTCCAGACTCTTATAATGCCCAGTTTATTACTTACAATCTTCATTTTCACATTTTCCACCCCTCATATACACACACACACACCATCTGCTTATTATTTGAATCTTTATTTCAAGAATTTATAATACTTTAATTTCAAGAATGTGTTCTCACACACACACACACACACACGCACACAGACTTATATTCATCCCCATAGTAAACCTCTATCAACAGCCTCCTCCAAATTCACTTCTTTTTATCAAACTTCTCAGTATAATATTCAACCAGAAGTTTATCCACTGAAGATTAAGAAAGGAAGCAACCTTTTCTAAACACCTGATAGAAAATCAGGTGAGATATCGCCTACTTATTCCAAAAAGTACATAATAGACACCTGGTGGAAGCTGTCTATAGTACTAGTCTGGAGTCAGACTACTACTAGGGATTTGAACTAGGTTCAAATCCGGGCTCTGCCGGTGCAATTCTGAGCAATCTACTTTAGCTTCTGTTAATCATTCAGTTTTATTTCCTTCATCTACAGAAATGGGGATATTAGCCACTTTATAAGGTTATCACATGAGATAATAATGTACTTAGCTTAATACACATGGTAAGCAAACAAATTTAATTGTTACAGTGTTAGATATAACCTATCTTCTGAATTCATTATTACCTTAAAAGGCAACTAATTTCACATAAGCTAGTCTCTCTTTTTTTTTTTTTTTTTTTAAGATGGACTCACCCTCTGTTGCCCAGGCTGGAGTGAAGTGGTGAGATCTTAGCTCACTGCAGCCTCTGCCTCCTGGGTTCAAGCAATTATCTTGCCTTAGCCTCCCAAGTAGCTGGGACTAAATCAAATTCTAAGGTACATGCCTCAAGCAAAAAAAATAAGAAACTGAAAGCAAAGTACAACTAGAATTTAAAATTTTTACTCTGAACTGTGCCTAGTAGGTTGGTGATATTTAATATGTATTAAAGATAAGCACATCAGTTTGTAAATCCACTGGATCTCCAGAACATTAATCATAAACAACTATCCCTAAAAAGAAACCTCAAACCACAAATCAGGAACTAAAGTAAGCAGCCTCATTTCCTTCTCTAAGTCTATGAAGGAATTTAGAAACACTAATGTTTCAAAGTAGAGATTTCAATACCAAGCTAGAAGAATCCCTGCATTCTACTTTTCTTGGTCCCAAAACAAACAATTTTCATTTTGGGAAAAACACACACACACACACACACACACACACACACACCCGTTTTCACTAACTTTAACAAGACACACACAAACATACACACACACCTGTTTTCACTAACTTTAACAAGACACACACACACCTGTTTTCACTAACTTCAACAAGAAACACACATCTGTTTTCACTAACTTCAACAAGACACACACACCTGTTTTCATTAACTTCAACACAACACACACACACAGACCTGTTTTCATTAACTTCAACAAGACACACACACACGTTTCAGTAATATCAAAAAGCCACTGCACTAACTTCAACGAGACACTGCCTAAGCGGTGGTTTTAATCAAGAGGCTGTATATCTCCTTTGAGAATTTGATAAAAAGAATGGACATTTTCCCCAGGCAGAAAAAAATTCACTCAAAACAAGACTTTGCATATAACTTCAGGGGTGGGAATGAGGAAGACCCCTGAAGTTGCTGACCCTTAGGCCACGGACCCCAACTCATCATCCAGGATTAAGGCAAATCATAATCCAAGGAAAACCAATTTATCAATTTGAACAGCAACTAAAGTAACTGGGGCAGGAATTTAGTCCAGAAAAATACATTTTCTTCTGTTTTCTCAGATAAACTGTTAGACTTGGTGGTTGGGAGAAGACGTGGGTCACGCTAAGCAAGGTAAACAAAACAAAACAACACCACAGGAAAAACATAAGAAAATAGAATTAAAACAGTAGTAAAATATAGTCGACTCTAGCCGCCATGAGAGAACAGCAATGAAATGGCCAATTTGGCAGCGCGCTGTGGCCCACGCCTGTAATCCCGCACTTCGGGAAGCCCAGACGGGCAGATCATTTGAGGCCCTGAGTTCGAGACAAGCCTGGTCAACATGGTGAAACTCCGTCTCTACTAAAAATACAAAAATTAGCCAGGCGGTAGTGGCGCGCACCTGTAATCCCGGCTAATCGAGAGGCTGAGGCAGGAGAATCGCGTGAGCCTGGGAGGCGGAGGTTGCAGTATGGCGAGACCGTGCCAATGCACTCCAACCTGGGTGACAGAGTGAGACTCTGTCTCAAAAAAGATGAAAGAAAGAAAAGAAATAAAACAGAAAGAAGGGAAAGAAAGAGAAGAGAGAGAGAAAGAGAAAGGACGAGAGAGGGAGGGAGGGAGAGAATTCCCGCAGCCTTAACAGATGACTGACTTAAGGTAACCATTTCTGGTGCACACTGCTATGCCAATTAAGTTAAATGGCAAACGTAAACACACCCTTGCAGGTGAAAGTATGAAAGCAAAAGTTAGTGAGAAGTTCTGCATCTCTTCCGGCTTTTTCTTACCAATAAGAACCGAGTTAGACGAATTATATACTTTAGGAGAAAACAGAGTAGGGGCGGGGCACAGAAATCCTAAGAGCGGCTAAAGGATCTACAGGAAGTGTAAAGCATAAACTTTCTGAAATCAAAGGGCTCAAGAGGAAGATAAGAACAAAACAAAGGAAGTAATAATAAAATGAAGTAAAAGGGAAAAACGTCTAGCGTCTAAAAACTGTCTTTTTAAAAATTCTTTCCTTTTCCTAGACACGTAAACAGTAGCAACTTGGCAAACAGGAACGGAGCGGAAGACAGCCGCATAACTCCCTTTCCAAATCTCCAGCATTCCTTGGACGTCCTCAGATGTAGTCAGGCTTGGGACATTTCACAGGCAAGACTCCTTCCTGCACCACTGCCTGATGAACCTCTCAAAGGGACTATCACTATCTCCCTTCCTCCCACTGAGGGAGAGAGGAAGTGGGGAATGCAGGGAGAGGAGGAGAGAAATGAAGGTTGGATACCAACCGTAAAGGTGGCCCACTCTGACACTTTGTCAAGAAAGGTCTGAATTCTGGAACCTGCAACCCTTTTTCCCACCTAGGGTATGCTAAGCCAAGAGAGTGCCGCCCTGCAAGGGGCGGTCCTACGCCTTCACTCGACTGTTTCGGGGGCACAGTCAGAAGGACAGGGACTGAAGGAACAGAAACCAAAGGCAGAATACTTGGGCAGATATGGCACAGACTAAGTAGAGGCGTGCCCTGTGAAAGTCGAGAACGGCGAACCCGGAGGCAACGTGTTGGCCCCGCCAACCACCTCAAACCATCTTTCCCCCGCCGAGCCAGCTCCGCCCTCACCTGTCTTAGGGTAACTCAGTAGCGTCTAAGTCGAGGCTTATCCCTTCCGCCGCTCTCTGGAATCGCCTCAGCCCTGGCAAGAAGTGAGCGGAAACGCGACCCAGACCTTTTCCTTCTTCCCCTTCCCCCACGCACCTCGGCTCCTCGGGGGCGGGGAGCAACTGCAGCTGTCACAAATTCACACTGACCAACCGCCCAGGACAGCCGGACCTGCGACCTCCCAACCCGGCCTCCAGAACCAGCACCAAGAGCAGCGAAGCCGGAAGTGAGGAGACCGGAAGTAGCGTTGTCCCTGGCCCTGGACGGCCTCTCTCTCCCTCAATCTGGCCTTGCCCAGCCACGTCTCGGTGGTGCCAGCGCACCTCCCACGAGGCTCCCTCCGCCCCTCTCCTGGAGGCGGGCCACGCCCTCCCGCTGCTGCCCTAGCAACCACATCCGGGACTCTGGCGGTGTGGTTGCCCGGGTAGTTTTCTGGTAGCGACCTAGTAGTAAAAGGGTGTGCGCGCGGGTCCAGAGGCACTGGCCAGAGCTGGGAGGTTGCGGAAGGGCGCGCCGGCCTGGTCTTGAGAGGTCGGAAGTCTCCGGAAGCCCTCCACATCCCTCTTTTTCATTAACACACTCCAGCCTCACAAGTGAGGCGTCTTCCCATCAGACCGTGAGCCGGTGCCGGGAGGGTGGAGGTGGATGTAGCTCACTGCCACGCTACCACAGAAGAGCCAAAGCTGCTTTCTCAGCCACCGGAGAGCACGAAGAAGGTTATTCCAGTCCCGCGGGGAGGGTGGGGGTGGTGGAGAGGATGAGAGGATAAGGGAGCAGACGGAATGCAGGCGCTCCCTCCCGCTGCCCCCGTGCCTGGGGAGCTCCCTCCCTTCAGAAAGGCTAGACCCCCGTTCCCTGAGCTCTTACTTGCTCTGGATTTGAGATCGCTTTTTGCTTTGTTCGCTGTCTCACAGTAGATTCCCTGACACTTTTCTTTCCTGCTCCTCTTTCTTCTTCCAGATGACCGAGCTCTGCTTTCTTAGCCTGCCCGATTACTTCTTAAATAGATCATTGCCCTGACACAGAAACTGCTGAACAATTCCCTCTCTCAGAGCCTTTCGTAGTTTCCTAAATGGGGTCCCAGCCTGCACTACTCTCCCCATCCCCAGCGCTGAGTGGTGGGAAAGCGTGGCTCCTCCGTGGCGCTAGGCAGACCTGAAGTTCATTTACATACAGTACAGTACAGTTGGTCTATTCACAGTATATCCCTTCGAACTGCTGGACTGCTTTTCCTTTGACAGGTGCTCAGTTTTACTCCCATTTCGCTTGTAGAAATGTGAAGGGTAACTGTGCACATGGTGAGATTTACCCTTCTTTAGACAGTACTTCTCTGCTGCCTTTACTTGTCACAGTAGCTGACAAAGTATTTTTAATGACTAATGCCTAAAGGCAGAGCTCTACCTCTACAGATTTCCAGGGAGTTTCAGTGTAGTGAAATAACCCTGGCAGGTGTTTTCCCTAGATCTTTGAATAGTAAATACCTGTGGCACCATAAATGTTTCCAACGTAAATAACGATATTGATTGAGCTCTCCAGAATACCACCTCTTACAAAAACAGTACTGAAATTCCAAAACATAAATCTCTTAAGTGGTTGTCTTTAACAAAAGAAAGGAGCAAATATGTATGCCAACCCACTCAAACTGTAACTTCAGTTCTTATAGCTTACTGTGAATTTTTCTGTACAAAGCCATCTTGGTTTGGAGACCATTAGTCTTCTCAATTATAAGAAAAGAATCCCAATCTAAATTCATTACTGCTGTAATTGTGTAGGAACAGAGCGGCTACAGAACTTCCAGCTAAGTACAGGTGTTATTCCTAGGTTTCAAAAGGGTGACTTGGAAGAAGTGCATGGTACGGCACAGCAGTGCTTAAATGATGTGGACAATGAGTACTGAACTGTTTGAGCTGGCTGTTGTCTTAAGGATTCCTGCTAACTGTCTTTTGAGTTTGGGGATGCTTAGCTTCACTAAAGTTAGTCTAATTGTTAGGCTGTTAGAGGTGTTTCTTGTTTTGGAAAGGTGAAGACTTGCTTTAGTTTGTCTTTAGCTGGATAATTTCCTTGACAGCTGAAGGTTTTGTTGGAGATTCCGTTGGACTTGGAACTAATGCTAACTTCTGCTTGGTGAAGATACTAACCAAGTTAGATACTCTTCAGTGAGATTCAGGTACTGTGTATGATTAATCCTCATCCACAGTATTATGCTGTGCAAGGCTATATATACATGGGATTAATCTTTCCATGATTTCCACTGCCCCAAAGGAAATTAGAGTGTAGTCTGGCTCCAAGAAAACAGTCGAAGCTACTTCAGCTGGTGATGGAAAATAGTGGAATTCTATACATCCTTTGGGACAAAGGAAGCAGCAGCCAGTGTTCTTTGGATTGGGAAATACTTTTGGTACTAATTGAAAAACATTATTTTAAGCCTAGCCCTGGTTAGATAGAGACTTGTTTTCTCTTCCCTCTATCCCTCTCTTCCTTTTCCCCCCGTCACTCTTGTTCTTTCCTCCTTTCCTCTTTTTTCTTTCCTCCCTTCTCCTTCCTCCCTTCCTTCTTTCCTTCTTCCCTCCATCTGTCCCTCCCTCCTTCCCTTCCCCCCTTCCTTCCTTCCTTCTTTCCTCCTTTCCTCCCTTCCTTCATCTCTCCCTCCCTCCCTTCCTTCCTTCCTTCCTCCCTTCCTCCCTCTCTCCCATCTTTCCTTCCTTCCCTCCTTTGCCCTAAAACTTGAGGGCCCCTGCCTGCTCACTTTGTTTAGAATAGAAGATTACTACTTTTCTCTAAAATGTCATTTATTTTTGGAGAGAGACAGAAAAAGGGAATAGCTGCCTTCCATATATACTTATGACATGGAGATTATCTACTCCCTTACTTGCACTGCTATTGGCTGTTTGGCTTTTGAAAAATCAGGTGCTGTTTATTCATTGGGCTTGTGGGGAACTCTAGTAGCCCTGAATGGCATTTGTTGCATACTCAATGAAATCTAATTCTTTATCCTGGCATTAAAGGTTTACCAAGATCTGGCCTCAATCTTGCAAATGAGTACTCTCTTTTATATACCTGAAGGAAGAGTGCTAATTTAGCCAACTAATAGAGATAGGTATAGATACTAATAAAGCATAGATATGAAACTTTAGTTGCAAAGGACTGTTTAGTCCTTTCTCTATTCTCTTACGAATAGAGAATAAAGCATAGAAGAGGGAAATTACAGGGCAGTTTGAAGCATACTAAACAGTCCTTTGCAACTTTGGACTTACTTGATTCTCTTATAGCACCAGGAAATTGACTAATTATGGTTGAGTTATGGAAATATGTTGTCTGCTGCACACCAGGCAAATTCCAGAATACCAGCAACTCCTGCTACTTATGATAACAGTACAAGCAGGATTAAGTGGATATAGTTTCTATCTATTTGTAGAAGACAATGAGTGAGTGCTTTCTTAAGTTTAGAAAGTAGTTGATTCTCTGCAGAGGGGCATAAATTACTGATAAAAGGAGAGTGACTCGTTACCCCTAGACATTCTCAATGGAAAGAATGCCAACTTTATGTTTTCTGATACTGATTTTTTTTAATAACTTGGTACAAAAGCAGAACATTAAGATGACTGTTGTGGAGGAAAAAAAGTAGAATATTAGAGCTGTAAAAGTGTTTTTAACTATAAAGAGGAAAAAAACTGAACCTATTTATAATTCATTTACCTAGAGGGAGCATTCAACATTTTGGTCAATGCATTTTTCTTTATGTAGATATATATTTCTTCATTTATTGAACAAATTGTTATTGACAACCTATGGTTTGCTGGAAGTGAGCTGTGTAGGAATAGCCATGAGCTTCTGCTCTGATGTTATTTTTACTATATGTTGTATTTGTTGACATATAATTTTATATTTTACTTTTTTCACTTAATATATCATGGAACTTTTTCATATCATTAAATATTCTCTTTGTGTGGCATAATTGTATTTCAGTATGTAGGTATTTCATAATTTATTGAAATGCCTCCTTTTTGTTGTATATTTTCAATTTTGTCTGTAATTATATAGCAATGTAGGGAATAGTCCTGTGTAGTGGGCAGAATTCTAAGATGAACTCCAATGACCCTTCCCTTGTATAATTCCCTCTCCTGTGAACATGATGGGATATTACTGCTATGATTATATTACTTTCAAGAGGTTTTTGCATATGTAATTAAGGTTGCTAATCAGTTGACTCTGAATTAATCAAAAGGGCAATATTTTAGGTAGACCTCACCTAATCAAGTGAGCCCTTTATGAACAGAGAGCTTTCTCCTGCTTTGGCAGTAGAGGAAGTCAGGGAGATTCAAAGTGTGAAAGAGAGTCTACAGAAGGAATGTTCTACATTGCTGAAATGAAGAGGGCCACAGACAAGGACCTGAGCAAAGCCTCTAGAAGCTGAGAGTAGTCCCTGCCACCAGCCAATGAAAAAAACTGGAGACCGTAGTCCTACAACAGCAAGGAACTGAATCCTGCAAACAATCTGAGTGAGCTTGGAAGGAAATTCTTCCCCAGAGCCTCCAGATAAGAGCCCAGTTTCTGACCGACATCTTGCGTGGACTTAAGATCTACAGAACTGTAAGATAATAAATGGGTGTTGTTTTAAGGCACTGAGTATATGGTAATTTGTTGCATAGCAATAAAAAGCTAATACATTTATAAGAGTTTATTTTTACATCTATAATTATTCTTTTGGCATAAAATCCTTCATATAGGCTGGGTACGGTGGCTCATGGCTATAATCCGAACATTTTGGGAGGCCGAGGCAGGCGGATCATGAGGTCAGGAGATTGAGACCATCCTAGCTAACACAGTAAACCCCCATCTCTGCTAAAAATACAATAAATTAGCCAGGTGTGGTGGCGCACACCCATAGTTCCAGCTACTTGGGAGGCTGAGGCGGGAGAATGCTTGAACTCAGGAGGCAGAGGTTGCAGTTAGCTGAGATCACACCACTGCACTCAAGCCTAGGCAACAGAGTGAGACTCCATCTCAAAAAAAAAAAAAAAAAAAAAATCCTTGATATAGACCTTCTAGATAAAAAGTTATACACAGTGTTAAGGTTGTATATCATATTGCAAATTTGCCCTCCATAAGTGTGTTGTAACAATTGATGTGCCTAACGACCTGTTACCTCACCCTAGCAAACACTAGATACTGCCATTCTGAATCAAGATATCTCTTTTTTTAAAAGAAGATTAATGTTTTTCTTATTAATAGTAGGATTGACCATTGTTTTCTTTATTTGAAATTAATTTGGTGAGTCTTTTTTTGGCCAATTGCATATTCTTATTAGCTTAACTGTTGACATAGAGAAAATACTCCCTAGCATGTTAATACAGCATTTCTCTGCTGTAATATTTTCAAGAGGAGAATGATTAATGAGCTTGAGAGGATGACTATTCTGAGAAATCTTAGCTGCTGCCATTACTCCTTGCAAAAGAATATCCCAGATGTTGTACTGTTGGAGTTTGGAGAATGTCACCCTCATTGATCAGGTAGTATTGATGCCTTATTCTTTTCTAGGGAAAAAGTCTAATTTGTCTGTTTGGCATTAGAAATGTGATTTTTTTAGGACTAAATATATATTGTATCTTATCATGGAAAATGGTAGCTTTGACTAATGTTAACTCAGGGGAAAAACTTAATCTTCCTAAACAAAGTCACCACATTTTCAATTTTCTCAAGATAATGAGTAATGTCTGATAATTTATATTATATTGCTTTAACAAGGATGGGAAAAGAAGAAATTCAAGTTACTTTTTCTATAATCCTTGTTATTTGACATGATAGATTTTATTTCTGATAAATGAGATAAGGCAGGAGGGAGAGAGGAAGCAAACGAAAGAAAGGGAGGGATTGTGGGAGGGAGGAAGCGAAGGGTGGGAGGGAGGGAGGGAGGGAAGGAAGGAAAGAAGGAAGGAGGGAGGGAAGAAAGGAGGGAGAGAGTTGGGGGATTCTCTTAGTAAATTTGGTTTTGTCTTTTTTGAAACATTGGTTTTCACTACATCAATTTCTGAAAGTTGTCATCTTCCTAAAAAGAGCAAGTATTTTATTTTTATTTTGAAAGAATTGTGTATTTACAGGAAAATGTAAGAGGAGATGCCATATACAAGCAAGATTTTTAATGTTAGTTGTATGGTCAAACCTTATTACTTAGGTTAGCCCTCCCTAACAGATGGAGTTACTGTTTGTGTTCACAGACTTCATAATGGCCTATTCTTCCATGGAGGCCTAATGTTGCTTTCGATTTTTAAGGCATTGGAAATGCTGGCTTAGGTTGGTGCTGCGAGCATAGAATCTGTAACTGTGGTCACAGGAGACCCCACCAGTGTGATTCAAAGATACTGTAATATAGTGAAAAGAATGCTGACTTGACATTTAAAAGCCTAGATTCTGGACTGCTCTTAACCACATTGTAACTGTGGGGCCAATGAAATCCAGTTTTACCTTCCTCCATAGTTATTTGGAATACAGGTAGTAAAACCATTTAAAAATTAAAACCCTGGGCTATCATTATTTTTAAGACTTTTTTCAAAGTGACACTTTTTTAAAAAAAGAATTCCTTTACTGGTTGTAATTCCTAAGATAAAAATTCCTCCTTTGAGTTGGGCAACAAGGGCAGAATAATTGTGGCAAAAAGTTTTGTCAAAAGATTTTGTGCCAAAAGGCACGCATCACCTGGGAAACCTGGAAGCGAGAAGAATGAAGTGCCCACACTCTCACAGAGGTAACACCGCTCATCCGTGGAGCGCCCACACTCGCACAGAAGTAACACCGCTCATCCGTGGAGCGCCCACACCCATACAGAAGTAACACCACTCATCAATGGAGTGCCCGCACTCACACAGAAATAACACCGCTCATCCGTGGAGCGCCCACACTCACACAGAGGTAACGCCGTTCATCAATGGAGTGCCCACAATCCCACAGAAGTAACACCGCTCATCCGTGGAGCGCCCACATTCCCACAGAAGTAACACCACTCATCACTGGAGCGCCCACACTCGCCCAGAAGTAACACCGCTCATCCGTGGAGCACCCACACTCGCACAGAAGTAACACCGCTCATCCGTGGAGC